ACTAAACCTCTATTCACAGGAGCCAGCAGTGACTTTTTGTTTTATTTTGTCTTGTTTTTTAATGTAGATGGATACCTCTAGGCCATAAACAAAGCTCAAGCGATGCAACACATGAGATAGTTAACAGAGAGTAACAGTGTATTGACTGTCAAGCCCAGAGATTTATGTCCACATATATATAAATATATATGGATATAAATATACATCAGATAGAGGAAAAGCCTCCATGATGAATAGTTGCCTTATGAAGCTTGCTTTTCACACGAAAAACATTTCAGAATGCCTCAGTGATTGATCCCCTTTTGCTTTGCTTTTCCTTCCCAGGAAGCCACTTGTCAAATGTGGCTTCAGAGGTGGCAACAACACCCATAGTCCTGCTGGATCCCGGAGATTATCCTGCCAATTCGAGCGACTACTCCTACGAGTACTTGGACGAGGCAGATTACGTGCTGTACGGTCTGTGCAGGAAGGGAGAAGTACTCTCATTTATCAGGGTGTTCTTACCGACCTTTTACACTGTGCTTTTCCTGGTCGGTTTGGCTGGGAACGCCCTCCTGTTCATAGTCCTGGTTATGTACATCAAGAAGAAAAAGAAGATGACAGAGGTGTACCTGTTGAACCTGGTGGTTTCAGGCTTCCTTCTCCTACTGACCCTTCCTCTTTGGGCCCTCTACGTTTCTCAGCGAATCACCTGGCACCTGTTGTGCCCGCTCTTAAACACCATGTACACTGTGAATTTCTACAGTGGTGTCTTTTTTGTGAGCTGCATGAGTCTGGACATGTACCTGCAGGTAGTCCATGCTTGCTCTCCTTGGAACTCAGTGACGCAGCGGAAGTCCATCCTTATTTTGTCAGTGGTTTGGATTATTTCCATACTTCTCTCCGTTCCTGATGGCATCTTCACCAACGTCAAGCACATCCACAACACAACTGTCATGTGCACTCATGACTATGGTCAGAAACACCTATTTTGGAAAGTTGTTTTTCAGGCCGTTCAAAACATCCTGGGCTTCCTTATTCCGTTCCTCTTCATGGTGTTCTGCTATTCCCGCATAGTGTGTGTCCTCACCGCTTCTCCCATCCCTGGATCAAGAAGAGCACTCTGCTTAGTCTTCACTCTGGTGGGTGTTTTCTTTCTTCTGTGGTCCCCTTACAACATTGTCCTCATCCTTCACTCCCTGCAAGACGTCGGCGTGATAAGAAACTGTGAAACGAGCAGGCAGTTGGACTATGCCATGCAGATCTCAGAGAGTTTGTCCTTGGTCCATTGCTGCCTCAACCCCTTGCTCTATGCTTTTGTGAAGAAACGATTTCGGTTGTATTTATGGAAGGTCCCTAGGGCCATTATGAGAAGAAGTGGTTTCCTTGAGATCCAACTTTCAGAAACAAGTCAGTCTCGTACATCAGTCAGATACGCTGCTCAGATAGAAATGTTGAGTATCACAAATGTATGATCAATGTTTACATTACACCAAAATAAATGCATGAACTTGTATGTCCTCTGTGATGTGTTTTACTGGTCCTAGTCATGCGATGGAGTTGTAAGTTTTGGAGCCCACAGCACTGGGTAACCAGAAGTTTCATCCCGGAGCCAACATCACGATGGGGATTGCTCACATTCAGAATGGAAAACTGTGTGGGATTTTTTAATTGAAACCAGATTTATTATAAAAGGATTGTCCAGAATTTATGGTCATGGAAGGAGGCTAGTTTCTGTCAGAGGTGTGTAGAAGGTGAAGCATTAGTGAATGAAGATGTATTTTTACGTAGCTCATGTGCACCCAAACTTGCAGGCCTGAGACCTCAGGGGAAATCCGCACTCAGAGATCCTGAAGTGGCTGATCAAGGGGAGCAGTTTCATCATCCCCACTGCTCATGGCACAGGTAGGAGGGAAGGGCTTCCCAGTGGCCACCCATCAGGCCAGACACAAAAGTCAATGTCTTCCTCCATGAGCTCCGTTCTACCTTGGATGTCAGTAACCAGATGGTTGCACTTGGAAATCACATGATGGCTCTGGAGAGGCAGAGCTCCTTGTTTCAAGATCAGTTTGACCATCAAAGCAAGAGATGTTAAATCAGTAACAACCAGTGAGAAAGAGAAAAAATAAAAACATATTCTCAGCAAACAGTAGCCAGAGGTATATTGTGTTCCCATGGACACATTTTGACAAGATAAGAAAGAGCTGTGGATACTGTAAATATTGGCTTTATATCATCGCATAGTGGGAGCCTGGGCTTGAACAGAACAGCTCTGTTATCTACTAGGCAATTCTGATTAACCAGAGTACCTTTAAAGTTCAAGGTTATTCATTGGCTGTCCTTTAAAGCTTTTATCCACCTCAAACACTGTCAGACCTTAACTGATTCTTCTCTAGCTTTGAAGTCAATCAAACTTCGACTAGAAACGTGCAAATCATTAATAATTAGAAAGAAAACTCTCGTTACCTTCTTGTTTTATTGCTGAATTCAGCTACTGGTAGGATGTCCTTGCTGTCTTCACAGAGGAAGGACAGAGATACTTGTAGCACGAAGAGGGTTTTTTTTCAGTTGATCTGCTTTTGCTGCAGTTATTTTTTCTTGTTGGCAAGGCATATTTTCAAAACAATAAGGCTGGGATTTCTTTGTTAAAAAAAAAATAAAGAAAGAATAAATATTCAGCCGGTGAGGTAATATGACTAACACTCAAGGATGGGATCACGAGGGAATGAGGAAAGGGCATTTGCTTCGTTTTGCTACCTGAGTAAAAACTATTCAGCATAAAGGAAATAACAAATAACAAGGAAACTGCTCAGTTAAACACCCAGATCCATGAACATGACAATGGAGGTGGTGACAAGGACCAAATCCCTTCAGCCACTTGGATGGACTGTTAAGGTACTACCCCCTTGGAGAGGTGGTAGAGCCTGAGCTCTGCAGCTCACAGTAAGCAGGGAACAGGCCTGACGGGAGTATTGGGGGGCACCTGAGGGTGGCCTGTGCAAAACCTACCCCGGGATGCTTAGAGGAAGGGCTCGTCTGAGCCCTGTGTGCGATCATCCCCTCAGGAGCTCCCTGCTCCAGCTGGAACCGGAGCGGGATGAGCACCTGGAGGGACTACGGCACATGCACGCGCGTGTCCTTGGCTGTCCACCCCGCTGGAGCTGCTTTGGTCTGAGTTATTTATTTATTAGCCAACCTCGTGTTGTCTCTGCCTTGTGCAGAGACCTTGGCCTGGCTGGTGCTCGCTGCGATCTGCCCCTGCTGCGGGAATGAGGCTTCTGTTTTGGCCGATTTGAAGCCTAGTGCTGATATACCAGCTAATTGAAAGGTCACTTTGGGGGTCTGTATTTTAAAGTGAACTGGAAGTGTTATCTCTACCAAAGTCACAATTTGTGCCTTAGCAGGGGCCCTTCAGTTAGATAACCCACTCTGCACCTCCCAGAGATGAGCTATAAGTAAGGTCTAACACGTTATAGATGAGGCATGATTCAAGTCCAGTGGAGCCTCAAGCCCTCGCTAGAAGAGCAGGATTACTAGAAAGTCTGGAGGACTAGAAAGTCTGGAGGTGGGCAGAAGACACAGAAAAGCAGAAGGAAAATGGGTCAAAAATGAGAGGGGGGCGCAAAGAGGCAGGAGATGGGGAACTGAGAAGTCTGGAGGACTAGAAAGTCTGGAGGACACTGTGGGCAGAAGACACAAAAGCAGAAGGAAAATGGGTAAAAAATGAGAGGGGGGGGCAAAGAGGCAATAGATGGGGAAAATTTGAGGTAAAGCAGGTAAAGAAGAGCTGTGGATTGAAGCAAAAGCATCAGGACAGCGGGGAGGAACAAGGAGAGAGAAGATGCCCCTCTGCGACATCTCCGAAAATCCTCCTCGGTGCTGCCGGCTGCTCCCCTGCTCGCAGCAGCGCTGAGGAATCCAGGGGTATCTCCATCCTCCTGCCCGGAGATGTACTTTCCTGATGGTCCTAGTGTGTGTGGGGGGGGATGGAATATTTGTCTGGCTACCGAGGAAGTTGGAGGAAGGAGAAATTAAAAAAAAAAAAAAGAAAAAAAAAGGCATAAAAAGGGTTAAAGAGAAGAGCAATTTCACAGTTCAGCTCCTAGAACTGCCAGCGGCTCCTGGTGTGCGGGGGCGGACAGGGCGGCGAGGGGACGGGCTGTGCATGTCCCAGCGTGTCCCTCTATCCCGGGCAGCGTAACCGGGAATGCTCCTTGGTGCCGGGAGGAAAACCCCGGGATAGAGGGATGGGGCAGGGGATGCGGAACCGAGTTGGCTAAAATATGAATCGAGGGAGAAGTCGGGGCTGAGACGGCAGAGAACAAATTGATCTATGTGACTGATTTAAGCCTTCTTCAACCCTGGGGAGGGTGAACCCGCGCTTGTTCTGCCCTTGCATGGATTAGCAGGGCTGGACAGCCAGGAGAGAACTTGGGGTGTTGGAGAACCTCAGAATGCCGGAGATCTTCCCTTCTCTCCTGGCTTATGAGACCAAAGGAGTTCAGCTTTAGCCCCTCTTCCTCTCTCCTGAACTCACTCACGGTGGAATTTCCAGCTTCTCAGTCTATTTTATCCAGTCAGCAACTCCATAGCTGGAGATTAGAGGCAGGGATTACTGAGTGAAATTCTCTAATCTCCCTTTCCTGTTTTTATTTTTCCACTTTTCTTTTTTTTTTTTTTTTCCAAAAGCAAGACTCAGTTCGGATGCAGCTTTTAAACCTAGAAAAAGCCATTTAAGTTACAGCAAAGCACCAACGCACACGCTGAAACCCACCCAGCTTGCTCGGCGGCCCCGTTGCTGCAACGTGATTGCAATGAGCCCTTCGCCCGATTGCACCGTCCTCTTCCACCCTCAGAAATTCCTGTCTTCCGTGAAAAGAAAAGCAGGCATAAGCCGCAGAGCTAAGCAGGGGAAGGGTGAGTAGTTGCCACCAATAGCAGCCGAGGTCGTCAGAGGTACAGGGCTTATCAGACGTGCATAAAGAGCCCTCACCTGCCCAGGGCCAGGGCAAAGCCCTGACGGGTGCACAGCACTCATGGCCCTCTTGATCACTCTTCTTTGCTCCCTGGCAGCATCGCTGCTTGGTGGGCTCTACCTCGTGGGAGCATTTCGGAGGAGGAGACCCCATGAGCCCCCCCTGGACAAAGGTCTCATCCCGTGGCTGGGTTACGCGCTGGACTTCAGAAAGAACAGCTCTGAGTTTCTGAAGAGAATGCAGAGGAAGCACGGGGATATTTTCACTGTGCTACTCGGGGGCTATTACTTCACCTTCGTGATGGACCCCTTTTGCTTTGGTGCCATCGTGAAGGAATCGCGATCCAAACTAGACTTCGAGAAGTTTGCAACCGAGCTGGTCCTCCGTGTTTTTGGATACCAGCCCATCGCAAACTCCCACAAGATTATTCAGCTATCGAGCACGAAGCATCTGATGGGAGACGGGCTGATTGTCATGACACAAGCCATGATGGACAACTTGCAGAAGCTGATGCTTTATAAGTTGAACTCGGGAGAGGGGGAGCAAATGTGGCAAGAAGACGGGCTCTTCAACTACTGCTACAACATCGTCTTCAGAGCTGGGTACCTGGCTCTATACGGCAGTGAGCCCTACCAAGGGGCAGATAACAAGGAGAAAGCCAATGAGCGCGATCGTGTCCGATCTGATGAGCTGTTCTATGAATTTCGGAAGTACGATCGCCTCTTCCCACGCCTGGCCTATGCCGTGTTGCCTCCCAAGGACAAGATTGAAGCTGAGCGGCTCAAGAGGCTCTTCTGGAGGATGCTCTCGGTGAAGAAGAGCCAGCAGAAGGACAACATCAGTAGATGGGTAAGTGACCAAGACCAGTTCATGGCAGAAAACGGGGTCCCTGAGTACATGAGGGATCGTTTCATGTTTCTGCTCCTCTGGGCATCCCAAGGCAATACGGGCCCAGCTTCCTTCTGGCTCCTCTTGTACCTAATGAAACATCCCGAAGCTATGAAGGCTGTGAAGGAAGAAGTGGATAAAGTCTCCAGGGAGAGCGGCCAGGAAGTGAAGCAAGGTAGCCCACCAATTAATGTCACCAAGGACATGTTAGACCAGACCCCTGTGCTGGACAGTGCTCTGGAGGAGACCCTGCGGCTGACCGCAGCCCCCATCCTTATCAGATCCGTCCTGCAGGACATGACCCTCAAAACGGACAAGGGGACGGAGTACACCCTGCGCAGTGGGGACAGGGTGGCCTTGTTCCCACACGCCTCTCTGCAGATGGACCCAGAAATCTACCCCGAGCCTCAGCAGTTCAAATACGACCGCTTCCTGAACCCAGACGGCACCAAGAAATCTTTCTACAAGGATGGGAAAAAGCTGAAATACTATAACATGCCCTGGGGAGCGGGGACATCCATCTGTCCCGGGCGGTTCTTCGCCACCAACGAAATGAAACTCTTTGTGTTCCTGATACTTTCCTACTACGACCTGGAGCTGCTCAACGAGGAAGAGGAGGTCCCACCGATCGACTCCAGCCGCTGGGGGTTCGGGATGATGCAGCCTGTTCACGACGTTCGCTTCAGATACCGGCTGCGCTTTTAGTTTGAAAGCCCTCGTTATGTTCGGTCTTGTTTAGGAGCTGCTGGTGGAATAACCGCGCTCAGCTCCTCCCCCGGCATCGGATCCACGCGGGGTCTTTCGCAGGGGCGGGTGCTGGTACAAACGCGCTTTTTTAACTGTTATCGGGGCTTTTCTCTGCGTTTCCATTGCATGTATCGCTGCTCCATGCATGTGGTTTGCTGTATTGTTTTTACTTCCCCTGCACCACAGGACTGTTATTTTGGTATCGGACCCTTCACGGTGCATTGAAACCAGACGAAGCAAGCAGGGATCCCAGCATATTTTCCATGTGAAGCATATCCAGGGCAGAACCCCGCCAGCCCATGCGCTTGGGATTTGCCTTTCTCCTCCCTGTTTCTCTTCCCGTCAAGCCAAAATATCTCACTGTGTTCAGAAAGCAGCCAAGAGGTCGGAGGACAATAAATGCCACATGCAAAGGTTTCATCGTGGGCTGAGCGGGGTCTTGCCCGCAAGCTCCTCTTGGCTGCAGGTTAAGATGTGTCCCCTGGGGTCCCTCAGAGCAGAGGTAGGACCTACTGACCACAGACACCCCCCAACACACAACCCTTCCCTGCTCACACCTAAGGAAAGGAGAGAACGTGCTGGGTTTAATTGCAACATAACTGGGAAGCGGTAGGAGTTGCAAAACATCAGTCATAACCTCGGGTACCACTTCCATGCATCAGCGTGATTGAAGATATGGACAACGGCCTTTCCAGAGCTGCGAGTGGGTGCGCATCCACGCCGGGGGTCTTGTGCACGACCACTGGAGATAAAAAAAGGGTATCTGCATCTGTGTGTGTGTGTTTGGCTTCATCCCAGTGCTCCGGGCCCTTTGGGGACACCATCCCTGTTCCTGTTGAACCCTCTCCCCCCTGGCACTTTCCAGCAGCAGAGCAGCCTGGGATGGGTGGAGGGGGTGGTGGACAAGACAGGCCCCAGGCAGGATCAAACACCATAAAAACCTCAATCCCCCACAGGCTGCAGCCACAACTACCTCTGGGACTGCAAATATTCCTGCTTTAGGCACCTGTAAGAGCTGGCCCAGTAGAAGCCAAGAGTTTGCCCTGCACACTTGGTTTTGCTTTTTCCTTTTTGCAGTCAACTCTCTGACAAGAGCAGCCCTTACGAGAGGCAAAGCTCGGAAGACTGATTTCACCCCCAACGCTAACCTTGGACTCTGGCAATTACAGATGACCGAGGAACCCAACTCAAACATTTTCAGGCATGTCAAAACATCAAATTTGGCTTTGCTCTCTGCAGGTCAGAGTTACGTGGTTACCTCACCTCGAAGGCAAAAAAATCCAGTAGAGAGAAGTTGTCGAGCAGCTGGGGCACCACTAAGATTAATAAAATTGCTCTGTTTCCCAGGAGAGGCAGCCCCCACAGCTGCTACCCAAAACACTGGCCTGATGCTCTCACAGCAACGAGCGGGCACCATCTGGGCAAACTGGAAGCACCTTCTGGTCTTGGCTGGGGGCTGTTCCCGGGGTCTCCACTCCTGGCAGCAGCCTGGGCTAAGGCCAGGAGAGGTGAGCGGAGCTGGGCAATGACCTGAAGGGCTCAGGGAGCTCCAACACCAGGGCAATGTGGGAACTTTCATGCGGCTGTTGTAGAGAGGACCTTTTAAACACTGTAAAGTGAAGCACCCCCACACCTTTGGCAGCGTTATCCAGAGCTAGTTGGATAGTTGGATATCCTGCCAGATGGGGCCGGGGCTACTTCTGGGCCCTTCAGAGGCTACATAGTGAGGCTGCAGTTTCACCCCCAAAGGTCTTTGTGTGATACAGAGCCATAGGGCACAACAGTACTGGGGAAGGATATAAAAATAATGACAACGATCTCGGTTCCACAGAAAAATCTAGCTTTAGTTCTTCGTCAGAACAGTTTATTTAGCATTAGTTAACAGGACAATATTGAGTCTACAAAAGACTCCAGGCATGCCCCAAGGTGTGCAAATGTGAGAAGCAAAAATCAGAGTCATCTGAGAATGAGGAGTGTCAAAGCTCCAGGTGACTTAACCTGCAATTCAAGTTTTATGCTTAGACAGATTGTCCTCCAAAATTGAGCTTTCCATCCCAAAGTGCCCCAGCAAGAGTAAAAAATGAGGCTCGGCCAATAGAAACCTCCATAGATTTGTAGAAGAAGGTAAATTGGAAGGACTCTGGGAGCCTGAAGATCTGAATGGGCCGGATCTCACACGCTGTCTCCTGTGAGCCCTCTGACCCCCAGAGAATCGCTCATGGAGGTTTGGTTTCTCCTCTGTTGTGCATCATGAAGACCAGATGACTTTGACATTCAAAGCTTTACACTCTAATCCATGCTTCTCCTTCTAATACTTCCATATGATGGTATTGAACTATATAATACACTAGGAACCGATTTCCCCTTCTCCTCCCTCTCCACACAGCCCAATGCTGCTCTGAGACAGCACCCCAAGGAAAACTCAAGAAACTCAGCAGAACCAAGAGACACATCTCTCACTTCTCAGAAAGGCAATGGCACACCGAGGTTATAACTACTAAGAAATCACAGAGCTGGTACCACCCATGGGAAAGGAATGCAGTGCCCGGGAGTTTCTGCAGAACAAAGTGGCACATGAAACTTCAGGATGCTTTGGATTTTTTGAAAGAGTCAAAACAGGGCATTTGCCAACAATGCTGCTTTCATGTCTCTGGGTAGGTGTGCCTGTGCACTCCCCAGGAAATAGCAGCAGTGCTTTGAGCTGTCCATATTTCCTAGCGATAGATCTCCTGTACATAACAAGATCATGGTCATTATTGTATTGTCATCACCTGTCCCAAGAAAAGCAGAGCTCCACGTTTTCACAAACCATGAAGGTTGGGCACCCTTGGAGAACAGTAACTTCTCAAAGCCAAGCAGCAAGTGGCAAGCATGGCCACTTGCAAGATTAGCATAAGGAAAGGAGCTCACCAGCCACTGGAAAGCCCTCTTTTACAGCAACACTGCCACGCACATAACGCATATTTGAACCTCCCTTTGCAGCTTCTCCATAGCTAGAAGCATCTCCTGTCGCTTGGGTGGCAAAGCCCTGTGTTTCACCCAGGGCTGGGCCCTGTGGGATAGTGCTGTTGGGTGCTGTACTTAGCAAGGCAAGGGACAAGCTGAGCCCATCCATCCATGGATGCTGGCAGAGTCCCACCGCTCCAGCTTTGCGCCTGCTACTTGGCCTATACACAGGATTGCAGGATAAGTCAGGTTGGAAGAGAACTTGGGAGGTTACCAGTCCAATATTTTGCTCAAAGCAGAGTTGCTCAGAGCTTTAACCACTTGTTGACCATATTGTTCAGAGCTTTATCCAGTCAGGCCCTTGCATCCAAAGGCCTTAGCTACTCTGCTATTTGCCATCAGTTCAAGAAGAGGCAGGTACTACACTGTTCTATTTCCCCTTGGTGGCTCTAATAACTACTTCGATTCCATCCTACAGTCTAATTATCACCTTCCCCACCTTCTCCTCGCCTCAGGGCTATTTTCCATTCAGAATTGTTTATTGAATTCTTTCGGCTTGGAGGCAGATGACAAAGTCCATCCATCCTTCACACCTTGCTGTGGTTCTTCCTGGGAGATGAGCAGCACAGTGACATCTGAAGGGGTCCCCAGTGCCACAGCCTGGGACCAGGGGCAGGAGTCTCTGTGTTTGCATACCTGGAGTTTTTTTCCAGCTGCAGGAAAGGATTGGCAAAGCTCCCTGGTTATTCCAGGAAGCTCGGAGACAGGTGACACACGCACTGCCAGGTTACCATCGGTCACAGAAGCCCTATTTACATTCCTACACTGCAAGAACTAGATTTGTTTACAGATATGCTACACTGCAGTCACAGAGACCTAAATGCACAGATCTGGGCATCTACCCTAACTCAGCTGACGCACAGTAACTTGACAGGACCCTTTGGTGCCAAACACTAAGTGCAGAAGCAGGGAGGGAGACGATTCACCACTGTCTTCTCATCCGTCTCACTGCGCGATCATCAGGCCGTACTTGGAGCAGAGCAGACCCCTTTTCTTTTCCCGTTCCATGAGGAAATTCCTCAGTTTGGTGGTGGGAAAGGTAACCAGTGCTTGCTGTCGGCTGTCCAAACCCGTCTCTTGGAGCCACGGGCTCTGCAGGCACTCTGAGGCTGATGGTCTTCCCCTAGGACAGGAGAACAGAGCGTCAGTCAAGGAGACATGCCAGGTGAGGAAGCCCCTAAGAAATGTAGAGAAAGAACGGCCAATAACTGGATTCTGCATAAACTGTCCCGTTGGGAAAGGGGTCGCTGCCTTACCAGGGATTTGCACAGAGCGTGCTCTGGAGAAATGACACTGCCCCTCCAGAGAGGCCAGCGTAGCATCGCGTGAGCTTCACTTTCCCCTTCCTGGTCATTCTCAGAAATTCACAGGGTGCATCAGAGCTGACAGGGTAGTTGGCACTCAACCTAACCCAAGAGAAGAACTAATCATCATGAAAAAGCACTCTAGAAATACTTCTGCTCCCAGGAATTCCCACCCAGCAGTAAGAGGAAGCTCATGCAGTGTTTAGTGGGGTTTTTTGTTTTTTTTTTTTGCTTTGGCAGCTTTTTCATTTGGTGCAATTCAAATTTCCCTGTTGAAGTTGGGGCTTTTGAAATTAGGCTGAGTGAGAAACACAAGCAGCTGCTGTGTCCCAAAACTGCCTCCTTCCTCCTCCTTTTAGAGGAAAGGAGTCATGCTGGCAGCTTGTGGCTCCATCTGGGACTGGGGTGTCTTGGCACGGGACAGGCAGCTGCCAACCCTGCATCACACAGCCACACAGTGCTATTGCCAAGGAGAAAAGACCTAGTTGAGGGCGAAGTATCTGAGATGATGGTTGATGCTCTAAAATCGCTCTTTGGAAGTGGCTCCTGCGGCAGACTGACTTACATGATGAACGCTGTGATCCCGATGGACCAGACATCGGTCTGAGGGAGGGCTCCTTGCTCTGTCAGCAGTTCTGGAGCTACAAAAGCAAACACGAGTGAGCTAAGCTCTGCTCCATGCTCCGCCACCATGACCAGCACAAAAGCAATAGGTACTTTTAGACTTTGCTAGATTCCTCAAAGGGTGAAGAAAAAAAAATCCATCTGTCATGGGGTGGTGATTGAGCTAGGACACCTCCATGAGTCAAAAATGCAAAGAAACCTAGAGAACAGAAAATCCATGGGCACCTTTGAGCTCACTTCTAGGGGGGTTGTTTTTTTGGGTTTCTTGCACCTCCTGATCTGTTTTACTACTTCTCATTTTATGTACGTTTCCCAGGGGGGACGCTGCAGGCCTGGTCTCCTTCTCACTGGTAAAAAACAGATGCGTCTTCTCTCCTACCAACCACATGACACCAATGGGACTATGAGGGCTGGAGCACAAATGTTCCCTATGGATACAGCATATGTTCACAAGGAGTTCTGTGTCTTCCAGGGACACCCCTGACACGAGCTCTATGGTTTACTCAATCAAATCTCAGGCTTGGAAATTCTGAGCTGCTCGTTGTTCCTCCTGAGCTCTAAATACAGCAGCCAGGCATGGTGAGACAGTGCCATGACACCCATCAACTCGGGGCACATGGGTTCCCACCAGTGTGGTGTTCACTATGACCTCTGGTTGCGTTCCCCATGGTCAGACGCAGATCGTAACAAGAGGGTGGCAAGTGGGAGACCTTGTTTACTTGGACCAGCTGCAAACTGTCACCTTGACCATGGTCCAGTTTCACTCTGTTTACCACAGACTGCACACAAGGCCAAGGTTGTTCTGACTCAACTCTGTACTTACCCATGGTTTCAACATAGTCCATGCACTTTTCCATGGTAATGACTTTGTCTTGTGTGTAGAACTGTGCATTGCCAAAGTCCAGGAGTTTCAGCAGGTTGGGCTCAGTGATGATCATGTTTTCGGACCTGAGATCCAAGTGCAGGATGCTGCGTGCATGGAGGTACTCAACTGCACTGAGGATCTGCCACAGGTAATCTCGGACCTCCACTTCTGAGTAGGATGGCCTGGTAGGAGAAAGCAATGGAAAACAGAGGTGTCCTATTTGCATGCTCAAGAGCTCTAGTCTGCTCCCACTGTCACCCTCCCCTGGAAGTCTAATCCCATAAGGTCCTTGTGGGCCCCGCAAAAGCAATTCTTCTAACTTCAGAGAATTTACTGAATATGGAGAGGCTGGTCCCTCTTGTGAGCCTGGTTTATGGATGCAAGAGTTTCAGAGGGTTGCCTGAACTGCAGAGAAAGCAGTGGTGGTGCAGAGATCAAAATGCAGATTCGATGCCCATCAGTCCCACATCTTTAATCACAGCATTTCAGCAGCCATCGTAAGAAATAATCTTGAGGGGAAACAAGGCTTTCTGACCCATAGTAATCTCCTTGTTATGGAAGAGAAAGATTCATATCAACTACTGCATGATGCTGCAAACCTCAAAGCTGGAAGACCCTAAGTTCCCCACTACACCAGCGAGGTAGGGAAGTTTCTTGTGCCACAAGAAGTCACAGCACAAATACACTACAAATCCAGTAATGACAACCCACTGGAACAGATGGGAAGAGAGAATCAAGGACGATGAATGTAAACACAGCTGTTTTGCTATTGACACGAGCCCCAGACAGAAACCCTTCCCTCCAGGAGCTCCTCCATGTATGATTACCGTGACGCCAAAGAATGGAGTAGTTCTGGTCCCACACACATCTCCTGGATCAACACCAAGTGCCGTGGGCTGACATAGGCTCCCTTCAGCTGAGCTATGTTTGTGTGATGAAGCTTTCTCAGGACTTGGTACTCCAAGATCACAGCCTGTTTGTCCTCTTGCCAGTAGGGGATGATTTTAGCAGCTAAAGTCTTGCCGCTTACTTTTTCCCTGCACTGTCGGACGATGCTGAAACGCCCCCTGGTACAAAGGCAGACAAAGGCAAGTTAAACTTCTGCTATTTCTTTCCAGAAAGAGGAAAGCTGCTGTATCCTGTACCAGGAGCTTCTGTATTTTAAAATCAATGGGATCCCACCACATATTTTTCATCCCTGCCCTATGTTGTGTTATTGCTACTATTGTCACAGCTGGCACATCCTTCCTCTGTCTCTGAATTGTACAGATGCTTTACACTGTAGGGATGAGATCCTAAATCCTTTAGGAGAAAGAGATATAATGTGGCTCATCCTGTCTAGGGCAAGAGAGCTACTCCCTGGAGGCAGCTACTTTCCTCTGTTAGTGACAGAAGAATCCGAGATCCTTCAGTGGAAGCTGAATCCCAACTCCATGAAAATGATAGTTGCAAAGGATGATGCAACGAGAAGAGGACTCACCTAGAAGTCTGCTAGGCTTACCTAAAAATATATCAAGGGGCTTTTTGCCCAGCATACACTGCTCACAACAGGCCCTCGGCTCTCTCCCTGAAAATCCACACCTGAACCCTAGTAAACCACAATGAAGATTGCTCAGTCAAAGATCTCAAGTTTACATGTCCAAAGTCACTTCTACTGGAGGTGTTTTCATCAAAATACCATTTTAGAAGATGAGCTGGGCTTTCATAAAAACAGCTTTTCTAGCTTTCTTTTGCTTTTTCTACCTACATTCAACATTTCACTACCACCGGTTGAGCACTAAGTTAGTTACCTTTTGATCTCTGTTTGGAAGGCATAGGTTTGGTAGGTTGGGAAAGGTTCAGATGGTGCTATTATTTCACTCTCTTCTTCAGTAGCAGTTGATGAAAAGCTCTGCACTGTAGCATGAAACTCTGCAGGGAAAAATATGGTGGGAATTACACAGCCAAACAACTCTGTGTAGATACTACACGCTCTCTGAGCCATCCTCCACTATCTTCATGAGCAAAGATAAATACAACAGCTGAACTTTGTCCAGGCAAGTTTGCATTTGGTCTCACAGCTGTGACACCACTCCTCTTTTAATGCAAACAGGTCCTGGACTGACCACACAGCACATCCCTGGTGTCATCACTCCAGACCACATAAGGTTGGCAGTATGTTGTATTCTAAAATAACAATACCAAACCTTTCATTGCAATTGTCAACTGGTTCTCATCTTTGCACATAACCAATCATCATGATAAACACTGCCAAAGGAACGGAAATTTCTTTCATCTGGGTATTTTCAGGGCATCAGCTGAAAACAAGTTGCTCTGGTCCTGGCACACAATACTTTCTGAATGTTCCCTGAAAATATTAAAATATGCCTTCTGGCATGTTAAAGCATCTGTTTGGAAATGCTGGACACATTGGCATAAAGGAATTTGACAACAGGGCCTTGGAGGTAGACACGTATTATTAGAGCAGTGCCGCAAGCATCAAGTTTCTCATCCCAGGCCTCATGGTCTCACCTCAAAACAGAGTGGTATCCAAAGGCCTAGCAAACACACTAACCTCAGAGGGTGATACACAGCTTCCAGATACCTTGTGTGGACAATCTCCCCGATATTCCAGACAGAATTAGGACAGAATTTACTTGTGAATAGGGCAATCAAAGAGGCCAAGGCCTCTACACACCCCAGCACAAGTGGAATCGATCTTAATTGGCTCCTCCTTGACTTCTGAAGCTGTATTTAAGAAGGGAAAATTGTTTTGATGCAGTAAAAGCAAGATGCTTTCCAATTACCAAGTATCTTACCCATTTCGTCTTTCTCACTGATCCTCACTTTGCCAGATGGGTTGCTGTAAGGGCCTTTTTTTTGCTTTACTGATGCAGGCAACTCTGAAGCAGTAAGTGAACCCTCTGGAGAGATTATTTGCGCAGTAGCAGCAGTCAGCAATGTCTGTAGCAAGGGTCTTCCACTCTCCCTCTTGGCCAAGGAAAGAGGGAAAGAAGGAAAGAGGTTAGGAAAGTCACGCCACTCTTTCTTTGCATCAATTTTATTCACATGCCAGAAATATGGAAAAGCAGTGCAATCTCTAAGTTAAGGAAAAAGCATGCTATGGCCTACTTCTGCAGATGTTTTAACTAGCTGTGCATGTGGCAACCTCCTCTCTTCTGAAGCCAGCTGTTTGATATTTAATCAGTCCAAGGTGTGGCAATGCTGTTGCAGAGGAATGATGCAATTTGTCTGTACAGTTTCTGTTTATCTAATTCATATCACCAATCTCAAGTGTCAAAACATGATGAACTCCAGACAAAACCCTGACTGTAAAAACACTCTATTTCCCCTTTGGTCTTATCTTCAATCCTGCTG